TCAGTGTCGGCCGAAAGCTCCTTGGTGCTTGGCACTGTGTCCTCTAGAGAGCACAGAAGCTGCCCCCATGGAAGAAGGAATGGAAATGCACACTCACCTCGTATCCTTTCATAAGATTGCTAATTCCATCCATGAGGCCAGAACTTTCAGGACTCTAAGGCCCATGAAGTTCCCACCTCCTAATACAATCTCACTCTTGGTTAGGTTTCAACACGTGAAGTTTGGGGAATGTTTCAACCATGGCAGCCATTACATCCATGAACATGGTATGTCTCCCCAGTAGATTACGCACCTTTTGGTTTCTTTCATCAGCACTGCATAGTTTTCAGTGTACAGATTGAGGACATATTTGGGTAGATTTATAACTACGTGTTTCATTTTTTGAAGCACTTGAAAATTTTTACATGGGTATTTTAATTTATTCCTTTCCAGTTTGTGTAACTTTACCTCCATTTTCTTGATTTATTGATTAGCTACATGTTGAAAAGAGTGGGGAAAGTAGACATATTGTCTTGTTCCCAATCTTAGAGGCATTCAATCTTTCACCATAAGCATAACATTAGCATGTGGTTTTTGTTGAGATTCTTATCAAGAAAATTCCCCAGTACTTTAATTATCAGGAAGTTTTTCTATCTTGAATAGGTGTTAAATTTTGTCCAATTTTCTGCATTGATTTATATGATCATGTGACCTTTAAGCCTGTTAACCTGGTGGATTAAATAAATCAATTTTTAAGTCCCAAACTAAGATTGTATACCTGGAAATAACTCTTGCTTGGTTGTGGTATAACATTCTTTTTATGTAACAATAAATTTAATTGGATAGTATTTTATTAGGGGTTTCTGTGTATTTTCATGGGAGATGTGGTTTTCTTTTCCTGTGTCATCTGATTTTGATATCAGGCTAATCCTAAATTCATGAAATGAGTTGGGGGATCTTTGTTCCTTTCTACCTTTTGAAAAAAAAGTTAAATTTATGTTAATTAGCCTTTCAATATTTGATAGAATTTTCCAGCAAAGTCATATACACCGAGAATGGTTTTTTTGGGGGGCGGGGAGTAAAATTACAAATGTAACTTTTTTTATCAATTATCTCCTTCATGGTGAATTCTGGTATTTGGGGATTTTGAGAAATTGGTCCATTTCAGTTAAGTTCTCAAATCTACATGTGTGGAGTTGTGGATAATATTATCCTTTGAATGTCTGCAGGCTCAGTAGTGGTATCTTTCATTTCATTTCTGGTATTCTAACTCATTTTCTGTTTTCCTAGCAGTTTACCAATTTAGTTAACCTCTTCAAATATTAGCTCCTTGTTTTTCTATTCTCAGGTCCACTGGTGTTTGCTCTTGTCCTTGTCATTTCCTTTTCTCTGCACGCTTTGAGTTTTTTTTTTTTTTTTGCAATCTTCTTTTTAATTTGTGGAGGTGGGCACTTAGATTATTGATTTGAGGGGGTTTTTTTCTTAATAGGTAATTTATTGCTCCGCAGTTCCCACATGACACTACTTTAGCTGAAAAATTCTGACTCACAAATTTTTATATGTTGTATTTTCATTTTGATCCAGTCCAATGCATTCTTCTCTCATGGGACTTCCTCCTTGGCCTGGGGGTTACTTAGGATCCCGTGATTTAATTTCTGTGTCTGGAGGTTTTCCTGCTATCCTTCCGTTACTGATTTCTAGTTGGTTCTGTGGTGGTCAGAATGCAGAGCATACATAATTCAATTCTTTTAAGCTTTCTGAGGTTTACTCTCATGGCCAGGACAGGGTCTAGCCTGTGGTACCTCTGTGGGCACTCGAAGGCACGGTGTCCTGATGTTGTGAGGTGGCATTCCCTGAATGTCAGCTATGTCCTGTTGGTGGAGGGTGCTGCTGAGCTCTTCTGTATCGCTGTGATTTTTATCTACTTCTCCTGGCAGTTTTTGAGAAAGGTGTGTTGAAGTCTCCAGCTGTAATTGTGGATTTATCTGTTTCTTTCAATTCTGTTCATTTTTGCTTCATATATTTTAAAACAGAAGAGAATGATGAAGAAAAAAGCAGAAATCAATGCACTTGAAAACAAAACAAAACAAACAGGGAAGATCATTTAAAAAAGAGTTGATTCTTCAAATAGATCAATAAAGTCTCCAGGTCCACAGCACACAGGCACATGATCTAGGATTGCCGCGTCTCCTTGGTGAACTGACTGTTAATGTTGTGTGACATCCTTCTCTGCCTGGCCATTTTCTTTGCCCTTTAGAGAACTAGTCCTGCTTTCTTTGATTCATCTCTGCAAGGTCTATGTTTGCCTCCTTTCATGTTCAAGCGGCCAATGTCACAGCATTGGAAGTAACTTCTTATAAACAACAGTCAGGTCACGTTTTTAGTCCATCCCAACCACCTCTTTTTGTTGCTCTCTTTAGACCACTTACATGTAGTGGTGATTCCTGACATACTGGACCTTAGATCTACCACTTTACTTTTATGTCCTGTCGGCTCTCTGTTTCTTGTTTCTGTTTCTTCCCTCCATCTTCATGTGCATTACCTGAATCTTTCTTAGATACCTGTCAGATCTGGCGGGGCAGGCAGCGGCCAAAGGAGGCAGATTTAAAAGGTCCACTGAACAGGCTTTATTGAGATATCACTCCCGGGCGGAACTCCATCAGACCCACAGAGGGGACAGGGGAAGGGTCTGAGGAGAAACCGTGTGGAAGCTCCAGGGGACTGGACTTTTATAGGGCTTACAGCAGGAAGGGAAGGGCTGGGGACAGGAAAAGGTGTTCTTAGAGTCCCTTGCCCCCTTGGAGTTGGTCAGGGGAGTTGGCTGAACTCCAGGATTGGCCAGGGGGTCCTGCTGATTGACAGGTGTTAGTCAGGAGATTTGGCTGATTGACAGGCATTTCTGCCGGCATCTGATTGATGTTCTTTTCCGGTGCGGGCTGCTTTGTTCTAAGTTGCCACTAAGTCGCCACCACCGACCTAACATTACCCACGTGGATTTTGCCAACTATCTTCTCAGTGGATCAATATATACAGTCTTTCTAGTGGTAGCTATCGCTGTTGCATGATGCAGACAGTCTTCTCATATTCTCTATTTGCCTGTTTGAGGTATTGAAACTTCTTCCCCCAAAAGGGGGATGAGATGGACATCATTACCCTAAGTACACGTATGAAGACACGACTGGTGTAACTCTACTTTGTGTACAACCAGAGATATGAAAAATTGTGCTCTATTTGTGTAATATGAACTCTAATGCATTCTTGTGACGTATATAACAAATTGTAATAAATTCTTAAAAAGAAAAAGAAACTTTAACTTGCTTAAAGTTCTGTACCCACCCTGGGGTGTTATAAAATGATTGTCATAAACATTTCCTCTGCATATATTTAGAATCATCTCAGATGGGGTCATGCTTTTGGTTCCAACCACCAAACATTATTTAGGAAATTCAAGAAGAGAAGTCTGCCACATTTACCAGCTTTTTTATTACTGGGGACTTTCATCTTTGTTACTCTCTGGTTTATGTTTTCTTTTTGCAAATACAGGTGTGCTCTTGCATCTGCACAGTGTACAGGTGTGCTCTTGCATCTGCACAGTGTACAGGTGTGCTCTTGCATCTGCACAGCGTGTGGCGTAGACACTGCGGCGGGCATCCTACTCTGCCCTCTTCTCCCCAGGTGCCATCCTAGCCATCTCCCTATCATGGACAGAGCTTCTCCCCTTCCTCCTGTAGCCCCATGGCCCAGCCCACTGTGCATGGACGCCTTGCTGACCTCCAGTCTTGGGCTATCATAGTTAACACTGCAATTAAAAACATTGTGTGGGGGTTATTTTGTGCCTGTGGACAGAGCAGCTGTAATTTTGTTTCTATTGCTTTTAAAAATGAAATGGT